AAGTATGCCCACATGTAAATTATTCCAATTCCCTTCTTTGACTTGAAAAATAATTCATGATAGAAAGAAGTAAAAAAAGAAGAAAAACGATTTCATTTTAATGAATAAGTTTTTTAATTCCTTTGAGTTTATTAAAATCAAAATAATAAATCTTTAAATTTATTAAATGGTTGTATTTTGAATGATTGTTCCTAATTATTTAAATATGAAAAATAAATAATGATTAATGAAATTATGTATTTCTTTATGTTGTAGTTTGTTCCTAATTTAGTATAATTTTAAAAGAAAGCAAATAATATGACGAATTTGTTTCAATAGGAAAGTTTGCATCTAAAAGAAACTCGATAATTGTTTTGTAGGACTTGACTTTACAAGATATTACAATAAAGTCAGGCTAATAATAAGACGTCGACAATGTCTAAACAATCTAATAAACTATTTTATAGGATCTAATTTTGTTTATAGTACCAAACATTTATGTATCTTATGTAAAAGTGTTACAATCAGTTTATAAAATACTTTTTGACGTTTGAACAAGTTTTTTACAACAATTTTTTAAATAAAATGTTCTTGATTTTTTTATATCATATTATTTTTTTAATATGTCTTACAAAAACAAATGTCTTATAGACAAATGTGTTCGTTAGACACTTTTCAAATGTTTCTAAAAAATAGAATACATTTATTCCAAAAACATTACAAAAAAACTTGTTAACACACCTAAAACATTATATAAACTTATTTTAGCTTGTCTATATAAGATGCATAATTGTTTGGTCCTATAAACTTAATTCCTATAAACAGTCTATCATAACATTTAGAAAATTTTAACGTCTTATAAACTCGATTATATCATAGTCATAAAAGGTAAGAGGGACGATTATTCACAATGAGGACTCTCAAAATTGAACAAGATGAAGACTCGAAGGAATTTAAAAAAGATGAAGATTAATTTGACTAAATGATGAAACACTGAAAACTATTTTGGACTCAATGATATTGTGGAGAATCCAGATGGATGTCGTTTTAAAGACCGTTTTTAAAGTATTTTTAAGTAACAAGATGACAAATTAATTAGAATTTTATTTGGTTTAATTATTCTAATTTAGCTTCATATATTTGAGATTATATTAAAAAAATATTTGAAATTACATTCATGTTTCTTTGTTTTTTTTTTTTGTTATTTTGACCCATGTGCAAGGGCTAGTTCTTGTTGATAAGTGAAGAGTTTGTTGTTTTAATTTTGAGCCTAGATGAACATACGTTGATTCAACGTCAGGGTCTTGTAGTGGAACTTGATGGAATCGTATATGGAGACTATTGGCTTGCGTGGTGAATCTCACAGGATCATTATTTGGTGTTGAAGTGGAACTCAAAAGAACCGGTCTACTTTAACAATTAGGTCTTGAGGTAGAACTTAAAGAGTCATCAACTGTAATAACCCTTACTTTCCTATTTGATAATTTACAAGAGTCTAGGGGCATGGGTGTAAGCTTTTTTGTCATTCAAGAATTGATTTAGTAAATAAGATGATAAAGGGATTAAACCCTCATTTCCTCCTCATTTGGGTTTTGATGGCTTTGTAAAGCATCAGAGAAAGAAAAGATTTGAGGAGTACCTGGCTCTCTTGAACTTGGTGAAGAATTGAAGAGCTAGAGTGAAGAGATTATCATCTCTAAGGTAAACTCTCTTTCTTCTAATCTTGGTGTCTCCGTTAATGGAGTTTTGAGTTATGTTTATTGAAGGATTCTTCTATTTGGGATGTTTTCTTGATTAATCTCTTGAGTGATTATTGAGATGGTTTGCTTTGGGAAACCCATTCGGATCGACATGAGAGTCCTACTACATTGCATTGCCATAATTCATGTTGTATATTTGCCACCATTGTTGATGGTCTTAATTGGAGATCAAGGGTTTCAAGTTTAGAAGCCTATATTCTTATGTTTTGATGAGTTTTGGTGGATTAATCCATGGATTGTAGTTAGATTGGTGTTTAAAATGGTTTTGAACTTTGATTCTTATGATTTGGGACTTTAAATCGACTTTGGACTTAGATGGGAAAATTTGCATTTGCGTGACTTTGGATTTGTACAGCTCAAGCAATCGCTCAAGCAAAGCGCAACCTTAGTCACGACACAAGTCACGTCAAGAAAGCGACTTTGTGGGCGACTTTAGGCTTGATACAAGTTGCGTTAGGCACTGTTGGTCCCTTGAGGGTCTACAAGATAAGTAAAACAGTTTGTACAAGGGGGGATGAATACAAACACAATATTTTCAAATTTAAAATGTATATTGATAAAGAAGATCAATATAAATTTTACAAGACTGTTTGCGGAAAGATAAGGTAAGAAAACCTATCTAAACAATCTTTGATTATACACAGATTCTTAGCAAATGAGAAAAGAAATGCTGTAAGAAAAGTTCCTTTACTTAAGCTAGAAAATGCTCAAAGTAAGAATTAGGTTTAGAGAGTGAGTTGCGCGCACTCTATATGGAGAAGAAATACTTCTCTTTTTACCCAATGCATTAAATGTTCATTTAATACAAAATGGTATGGTTAGAGTGCGTGTCAAGCCTTAAGAGGAAGGCATGTCCTTTGCTACAGTGAATAGTATGAAAAACACTATTCATGAGCAGACATCCTTACCTAAAGCTGGTGGGCAATAGAGTAAACTAGTCGGCTCCGTACCGTACCAACATTTAGAATGGTATGGGTTTGTCCTTTGTGTGTGTAAGGATAAGACAACAACAATCATGCTAAGCAAGCTTCCTTTGATTGCTGAATGCTGGAATAACCTGGAGGTCTCTTTAGCATTCGCTGAGGCTTGAGCAGTCTTCACACATATGTAGACGGGCTTGTAATCACTGAGTACCGCTTCAGATCACGTACTCGCCAGTCTCTAATATTCAGTTTCAGTCTTCGACATTAGCCGAAGGTTCTTTGGTGTGAGTGTTGTCTTCTTGAAGTATCGCTGTCTCTGATTGAATTACAATACAGGTTTTTCAGCGATCACTGAACAGGCTCAATGATGATCACTGGAATTGAAAAGACAGAAACATAAATACAACGTATAAGTGAAAAGGGATTACCATCAAATCACTGAGAGAGAGGATCAACAATCTCCCCCTATTTGATGATAACAAGACAACATAAAGAAAGTTGTCTTATCAAATAATAGTAAGGTAAAGTTACATATAAATTACATGCCCTTTTTACTATTTTGGGATCTTTTTCAGTGAGTCAGTCTCAGCTTGAGAATTTTCCTTAAGTTATATCTAAGAGAAAAAATTACAAGTATGAAAACTGAAACTAAAAGCTTCTTTGCTGACTTATAGATTGTCAGTGAATGTAAAAAGTAACACTGGAACTCATAGACTCGTGTCCCTATTACTTTTTTCAGGGATCTTTTTTAGTGAAGTACATGAAATACTCAGTTTATTATCATTGGTAATATTACAAGTATTACAGTACATGTCTAGTGCTTACAGACTATAAGTATAATCACTGAAAGTAGACATAGTACAAAAAGTTACAAGGAAAAGTAGATTGTTTGTTACAAAGAGAAAACTAATCTAGAATACTTAGATTTATGTAGCTAGGTACATCTTCACCAAGGTTTCTTCGACGTAGGCATTCACTTCGTATCTTCAGATCGATGACTTTTCCAGGCATGCTATCATCTATCCAGAGCAAGAGGTAAATCATATGACTCATTGGACATAGACGTAGCTCTGACATTCTCTGAAATCTGAATTCACCTTCATAGTCAAGGAATATAACTCCTAACTCAGGTTTGAAATGCACAACATTGGGTGTAAAGGGACCCTTATATGGCAAGTCAAGATTCAACATAGAAATGTCTGTACTCTGGTGACCCTTCAGGACTTCATCTAAGGAGAACCTTGTTTCATGTTCGTTCCTTAGGAATGGTCCAACATTAGGATCAGAGAGCTTGAGTTTATTCTTCCCACCTTTCTTCAGAGATGGACTGTTAGGGACCGCGACATACCTGGACATCCTTTTGATGAGCTCGCTGATGGTGTCCTCGATAATTGTCTTGCATCTCGACTTGGATCACTGAATGGGTTGCCTGATCTCCATCCATTCGCTGTATCCATAACGGCCAAGGTAGGAAGGGTATTCGGTGATGGCATCGAGATTTTCCCTGGTGATGAGCATTGAGAGCAGTGTTCCACCGTCTTTTGAACGTCCACTGATGTTGATGCTGATAATCGAGTGGGGACTGATTCTCTTCTTCATCTTTGCTTCGCTCCATTACTTGTCCTTTTCCACCAGCTTCAAGTTCTTCTCATGCTCAGCTTCTACAATAGAAAAAGTTTAGCCTGGGCTTGGACAACGTTCACCTTTTTCTTGGACTTTCTCTTGGAGAGGACCTTCGTAGCTAGTGACTTGGCCAGCTTTATGCTGTCACCAGTCTGCTTCTTTTGAAGCTCTAGCTCTTCTTCAGCCTGCAATGCCTCGAGTCTTTCAGCTTCAGAAAGGAAATCGAACTCAGCACCACTAGAGGTACGAAGATAAATTTTTACTCTAGTCTGGTCGAGTGATTCCTTTAGCTGAGTCATCTGCTGGTAGGTAGAAGCATTGGAGAAAGGGTGATCAGGGAGCCATTCTAGTCGACTGTAGGTGGTTGACGAAATTTGAAGTTAATATTTTGAAGTAATTACTACCTCAGAGGTAGAATCTTCAAATAAAGGTTGTTGAGGGATATTGAACAATACCTTCAAGTTTCCTTCTTCAGTGACCGCCTTGACTTTAGACTTGGGGTCCTGGTTCCCTGATGGAGTAGATTTATCTTCCATTTGCTCCCCCTGGGATGTAGAATCCCTGAGGGTGACTCCCTTGGTGGCGGTTGATGGCTTCTGGTACTTGATGGTAAAGTCATCTTCATCATCATCGTCGTCGTCACCATCTAGGTCACTTCCGGGGTCTGGAATGGTAGGTTCATCATCTTCATCATCATCATCATCATCGTCATTACCAGCAGTAGTGATGGAAGGAGCGTCATCCCTAGGGATGGCATTGACAACCTCAGCGGGAGCAGCTTCGGTGGTCGAGCTTACAGAAGCAGCAACCGCTTCAGCTTTAGGAGCCTCAACTTCAGCTTTACTGTAGATGATACTGAACCAACAGCCGCAGAAGGAGTAGGAACAACATCATATGATCCACCAGCATTGGACCTCATCTCCCCCTCTCTGGCTAATACTTGAGAGAATTGGCCAGTGAGTTCATCCAAGCGCTGACGCTGGAGAACCATTACCTCCTCTAGCATTGACAAAGCACCGGCTAGAGTTGTCATTGCCTCACACGTCTCAAAGAGCTGGGCGTGATCATCGAAATAGAAAGAAAGTGGGATCACTGGAGCTGGTTGACGGACAACATCCAGGATCTGTTGAAGAAGGACAATCTGCTGAACAGTGATAGCCTGAGCATCGTGAGCCCTGCTGGAGAGAACAGCAATGGCCTTGGTGTTGGCTTGAACAACTTCTTGGAGAATCAAGAGGTGACTCTGAACTTCTTGAACGTCTGCCTGGATAGCGAGGAAGCTTGCATCAAGGTCAGCCCGGCGGGGCATCTCCTTGTGGACTTCTGTTATCCTGTAAATGACGGTATCAACAGCGAGGAAGAGAAGTTTGATATCAGATGCCATATCATAGTCATCATCAATCTCATCATCCATTCCATCTTCTTTCTCGCCCCCGTCCTCTTCTTCTCCCTGAGCATCAAGCTGATGCGTAGAAGAAGGAACTGCAAGAGAGGAAGTGTGAGAAAACGGCTCAAGGTTAGTAGAAATGAACAGGTAGGAAGATGGAGTACCTTAGGGGCGATCAATGACATCCAAAGGATTGTCACTGGCGTGAGCAAAGATGTCATCGAGAGGATAGACATCTGTATACTGAGGAGCATCGAGAGGAGCAACCTCAGGTCCAGTGGTGTGTGTTTAAGTATCAGGGAGGACGGTCGCTGATACATCATCGACATGTGTAAAGACCAAAGAAGGAGGAAAAGAGAAAAATGGTTGAGAAGAGACGTGGGTGTTCAGCGGTGGTGGCGCTGATATTCACACCTTCAGTTATTTGGGTCACTGAGGCGGTTGGGATAGGTACCACTGATACGATAGTGAAGGGAGAGATCACTGAAGAGCTGGGAGGGTTAGCTAAAGACGCCTCGGGGGTAAGGCTAGTTTCAATAGCTGAAACCTTTCAGAGGCTTCAGCCAGAGACGTGGCTGTCCCCTTTTTGGACTTCTTGGCTCTCTGAGGAGAACCAAGAGTTGGTTGAGAGGGTCGTTTTGAATGGGTTTTGGTGGCTTGGTTGGACTCGGGGAGGGGGGAGGGGGGTTTACCCTTGTCCTGGCCACCTGAGGAGAGGAGGTAGTGATGGACACAATAAAAGTTAGTGCCACATCACTGTCCCTCAGCTTATGATCCAGAATCCTAGATCCAAGGTTAGAAACCTGGAGGTTTCCTCTCGTGGAGTAATGATCTTTAAAGATCTTTGAAAACACCATTGAAAGGAACCTGGTGTAAGGCACCACCTTTTCTCGCTGGCGCTTGTTCAGCTTGAGCACCAGGTAATCGAAAATGACTGTAACATAATTTATATTGCGACACTGAATCGCAGATATGCCTATGGTTAAGGAAATCCTAGAGGCCTGGTCCTGACCTCCAGTTTTTCCACCCATGCACTGGATGAAATGAGAGAACAGGTATTGCCAGATAGCTGACATCCTGTTCTTGTCAATCTTGGACAAGGACTTCATGGGAGCATTTGAGCCCTTCTTCATTGGCTATTGATAGCCAATGGCGTCGAGAAACTCGATGATCTCGGTCGTGGTTGGTTCGCTGTTGTAGGAGCCTTTGGGAAGGCGAAGAGCCGTCCTGAATGTGTTGACGCCAAACTTCACTTCCATGCGGTTGAAGGTGAAATTGACCTTCTCCATTTGGCGCCCAGGCTTGACCTCGACATCAACAACTTCAACAGTGAACCAGAACTGTTGAAGAAGTTCTTTCACCATGATGGGCTCATGGTTGAGTGCGAAGCCCAATGACAACTGCTTGAGGAAGTCAGCCGCTTCTTGGTAATCCGCCTTTGATGAGGGGATATCCAACAATGCAATATGGTTGTTGGCCTTGAAGGATACCTCATCGATAGAGAAGTTGACATTCTTTGCGGCCATCTGTTTGAGTAATAAGAATAAGATAAGCAGGTTGTCAGTATAAACCAAGATTGTTCGGGACAAGAATATAAAAAAAGTTTTTGAAGCAATAAAAACTTCTTTTGAAAAATCCTTAAAGAATATTTAGGGTTTTTCAAGTAGAATGTGTATATAGAAACAAGATTATAACCAAGAAAGAGATGATTAAATAACCTTTGTTGTTTAATGTATTAAGAGAACAAGATTCTTAAAACAGATTAAACGTTTCTTATAACAAAATAAAAAGAAGAAGAATAAGAAGATATTGACCTTAGTTGTTTGAAGAGTAAAAGGTCAAAAACGAGTTCGAAGGTTTGAGAGAGTTCTTGCTTTGGAGATATCTTAGCAGAGGTTCGTCTAAGAAATTTGAAAGCGTAAAGAGAAAAGTGGAGAAGAAGTCTCATATTTATAGGTAGGAGGAGAGAGAAGGAATATGAGAAGGTAAAAATATGACGGTTCGGGAAAGTGGTCATGATTAAAAAGACCACGTTCTCATCCATGATTGGATGGCAATAAATGAGGTACCGTAATGACAGAACCTTTTGCGCGTCTCAAAGTGTTGCACATAGTAAATAGAGAGTGTCGTCATTAAGACGGTTCATTAACTATTTTCTTTTAAAAACAAATAGTTTTTAAGAACACGAAGAGTCATACAGTGTTTGACTAAACACTGATAAGACCGTTTAAAACATTTTATCATTGAAGATGAAAGATTCAGTGAAGGTTTTAAGGCATTAGTGTCAGTGATAAGAGAGTCACTGAAACAGGCATTTAAAAGAGAAGAGTAATCATACCTGAGAGAGAATAGTTATATTTACTCAAAAGTTCAGTGTCAGAGATAGAGCACTGAATCATTTCACTTACTGAGTGATGCTTAATAACTGAAGATTAATCTTCAGTATTTAACATCCCTAATTTGCTGATCAAGATGTTAAATCTTGTCTCATCAAGAGGCTTGGKGAAAAGGTCAGCGAGTTGATACTCAGTTGGAACAAAGTGAAGTTCAATATCACCATTCATAACATGATCTCTGATAAAATGATATCGAATCTCAATATGTTTGGTCTTGGAGTGAAGTACATGGTTGTTTGCAATTGCAATAGCACTAGTGTTATCACAATAGATAGGAACCTTTGAAAACTGAAGTTCATAGTCCAGCAACTGGTTTTTCATCCAAAGAATTTGGGCACAACAGTTACCAGCGGCTACGTATTAAGCTTCAGCTGTTGATGTGGACACTAAATTTTGCTTTTTACTTGTCTAGCTCACCAACTTTCCACCTAGAAGCTAACAGCCTCCAATGGTGTTTTTCCTATCAATTTTGCAACCTGCAAAATCACTATCCGAATAACCAATAAGGTCAAAACCTGAACCTTTAGGGTACCAAAGACCCGTATTAGGAGTTCCTTTAAGATATCTGAATATGCGTTTGACAACGATCAGATGGGATTCCTTTGGTTCAACTTGATATCTTGCACATAAGCAAGTGGAGTACATGATATCGGGTCGGCTAGCTGTTAGATAGAACAGGGAGCCGATCATTCCTTTGTAAAACAGTAACATTTATAGGCTTTCCATTTGGATCCTTGTTGAGAGAAAGTGGAGGAGCCATTGGAGTCTTCATAGATGAACTGTTGGATAGATCAAACTTCTTCAGCCTGTCTCGAACATACTTACTTTGGTTATTAAAGATACCTTTATCTGTTTGTTTGATCTGAAGACCTAAAAAGAATGTTAGTTCTCCCATCATGCTCATATGATATTTTTTCTTCATGCGTTCAGCGAAACGAAAACATAAAGAGGGATTAGTGGAACCAAAAATTATATCATCGACATAAATTTGGACGAGAATGATGTGACCCTTAACTTTCCTAAGAAATAAGGTATGGTCAATCTTTCCACGAGTTAATTTCTCAAAGATGAGAAAAGATGAAAGGGTATCATACCAGGCACGAGGAGCCTGCTTTAACCCATAAAGAGCTTTATCCAACCTATAGACATGGTTTGGATACTTAAGGTCAAGGAACCCTGGAGGTTGTTCAACATAAACTTCCTCTTGAAGTTTCCCATTAAGGAAAGCACTCTTTACATCCATTTGAAAGACTTTGAAGTCTTTATGGGCAGCAAAGGCTAGAAAGAGTCGAATTGCTTCGAGTCTAGCCACTGGTGCGAAGGTTTTGTCATAGTCGATCCCTTCTTCTTGTCTATAACCCTGAACAACAAATCGAGCCTTGTTACGGGTTACCACACCATCTTCATCCAACTTATTGCGATAGACCCATTTGGTGCCTATCACTGACTTGTCAGATAGACGTGGGACAAGGTACTAGACTTTGTTCGTATCAAATTCAATGAGCTCCTCTTGCATGTCAAGGACCCAACTAGGGTCAGAGATAACATCATTGATTTTCTTGGGTTGAACTAAAGAAAGGAAGTTGACAAAGAGACATATATTACCCAGACCACGACGTGTCATGATACTTGCTTCTGGATCACCAAGAATTTGATGAATTTTATCTGAATAAGTGAGTTAAGGAACAGAAGATGAGGCTTCAGCTGCAGTATCTTCAGCAATAGGGACTATCGCCAAAGGAGCCTAAGATTCAGTGACTGAAATAGGTTCAGAAACTGAAGACATTTCATTCACTGATTGATCAGTGTTTGAAGTAGAAGGAGGAACACAACTAATGGGCACAATAACGATCTCTGAAGAAGATGCGTTAAGGCAACCTTATCATCTTTGTTAAGAACGTGACATGAATTTTTCGAGAATATAACTGTATAATCTTTATCACACAGTTGACTGATGCTAAGAAGATTGTGCTTCAGTCCTTCAACATATGCTACGCGTTTGAAAGTTGTTGCACCATTGGTTAATATACCAAAACCTCTGGTATATATCCTTTTCTATTACCACCAAAGGTTACGAAAGGTCCTCTTTCTTCTTTGAAATGAGTTAACAGGGATTTATCTCCAGTCATATGTCTTGAACATCGCTATCAAGATACCATATACCTTTGACGTCCTACACAAGGAAACAAATTAAGAATGCTATTGTTACCCAGCTATTGGGGTCCAGCTTTGTTAGAGGCTTCACCCACTGTAACTGAAGAATTAGTATCAGTAGATGACATCACTAAACCTGAAGAGGTTTGAGTGGAGAGAGGAACAACCTCTGACACTACTAAAGTAGTTTAAGTGGAAGTCTTCATTGAGCTTGGTGAAGAGGCTTTAGTGGTAGGAACTACAACGTTTGATGGTGAAATTTTTTTAGCAGGAGTTGTCTTCGCTGAGCCTGAAGAGAAGGCTCCATGGTTTTCTTCACCTTGGTTACTTTTGCAACCTTTGTAGATGATTTCACCTTGGTTGATTTCTTAGCCTTGGCTACTTTCTTGCCCTTAGCTGGTGAACCAGCTTTGGCGGCAGAAGAACACTTGCTGGCAATATGTGTTTTCTCACCACAGTGTTTACACTTCCTAAAGCTTGGGGTAGCTTTAGGGCCAGGAAGTATTAGATTAGAAACGGGACCAGCTCTAAATAATCCCTTCTCA